AAGATTCACCTCTCCTAAATCTCCTTAGGCTTCTCCCCAGTTGCAAGATCATTAACTGACGCATTCTAAGAAATAATCCAGTCCTGGTTGCTATCTTCAGTTTAAAGTTATGGAAAACAATTGCTTGTTTGTTGACTGTTCGCTATGCATGCACACAGAAGCACCCATGTTCTTGCACCCACGTTGCCTGTGGCTTCCAAAAATGCTGAAAAGAACATTACTTGAGTTGAAATTACGTGGGTTTGTGATAACATAGAATTTTACTTACAAGAAAATACGTTGCTTTAGTAAAGACCTTCTCCCTTTTTTACTGCTTCGCTCATACAGCTTGAGAGAGAATGTGCATCTGCATAGTAGTACTAATGCAGAGGTTAAAACAGAACTTACTCCATAGAAAGATACTGCAGCTGAGGTGCAAGACAAGTCAGTCATTTAAGAAAAAAATAGTCATGGGCTGTGTACAAACTGAAATTTGCTTCACCAGTTGTATTTCAACTCCTGTCCGGCATGATTAGTGACTTTGTTAACAAGGAAAATGCTTTAATGGGTAAGTTATCCTAAGGCTTGTGTAAAACAAAAGGAACTAAATTGATAGATAAAACTCATGTTTATTTTATGCAGTGAAGCATGTGGCTGTCTTAAGTTACCTTTGTTTTTTTTAGTAGGTCTGAACTTTTGCCATCATTAGCTTTTATTGGAACACTTCTAAATAATGCTATTTGCTGTTGCACAGCATATGGTGTGTTAATGCTTTCTTTTTATTTTTAGTATGCCCGAACTATGTGTTCCTCCCTGCAGCATGAGCTGGCTTTCCTTGCTCACATTCCTTGCAGTCCATCTGCCTATAAATGTTTTTAGAGTGCATCGAATGATGATGCTAAGATGCTGATGTGTTAAGTCATTAACAGTAAAAATCAAACATAAAATTTTGTAGTGTATTTGGCCCAAACACATTCCACCACCACCACCGCAAAATCAAGTAGCCTCTGTTTTTTAACTGAAGTCTTACCCGGAAGTTTTTAATCTAAAATGAGCATTTGTCACATTTGTTGAGAGCATCTTTGGGAGCAAATCAGAAATTTTCTCCCGTAGAATGCCTAGTGTTTTGTGGAGAGGAAAGATCAAAGGATTACTTGTGATTAGGGCAGGCAGTGTAAAACAAGTTCTGTCAGACTTGGGGAGAATCTGAGTATTTTTTCCAAGTCATTGTGAAATGAAGGAGCCTGAAAGAGGATACATGCCTGTTAGACACAATTTTGCTAGTAAGTTATATTTTCTTAGAGATGGGTGATTTTCATTAAATAATCCTCATCCAAAACAAAACTATGATTTTGGGATGTTGTGGTATAAAACACTGTATATTTGCAAAGCAGCAGAGGTTGCCACCTCTTCTTGCTTTACCTCAGTGGTTATTGATCTAAAAATACTAACAAACTTAGTTGTCTGTAGTTCACAAGCTGCATTTTTCGCAGTGGGATCCTCCGGATTATTGAGTGTACTTTAGGAGTAAAGCTTGCTCTGGCGGAGCCTTGAACTTAAACTGTTCTTAAGCAAGAGTCCCAGATCTTGTGATCTCATGGTTGAAAAAGGGAAAACAGGTGGTAGGGCTAGATATAATGGTTCTTTCCATTTTTACCAGTGCTCTGACAGCTTCCCCTGGGAAGCTTTCTCTTTAGAAAAGAGATAAAATAGTAAATAGAACTGGAGAGGCATACACAGTGCCTGTCGGCTTCTGACTCCTGCCATCTGCAGTATAAATCCTTGGGTTTAAGAGTTGGTCCTTTACTCGTTTATGCAGCAACAAACAATTTTATTACTTTTTTAAAAAAAGAAAATAAAATCTTCTGTTGTCAGTATATGGCATGCTTCATTCAGTAACACTGTAGTTAAATTAGTGTTGTCTGTCAATGCCTATGTATAACTTTACTCAAGATTTTTTTTTTTAAACTGTTGATTCATAGCAATATCTCTGTATTCTTTGCCAGTTCCAGATCAGTATCTAAATAGTAGAGCAGCATACACCCAGAGTCTTGTATGTAGTAATAGTTTTGTATTTAGTATCAGCATTTTCTAGCACAGTTCATTTTTCCCCAGGGTAGGAAGGTTTTGAGATGAGAATTCTGTGCTGTGTTTCAGTCGGTATAGACAGCTTTGTACTAGTAAACGGGCATATTGTTCTCATCAGCAGCTGCTCAGGGATGAGCAGAAACCATCAGATCACTGGTGCAAACCTAGGTTCCATCAAGAAAGAAGAAATAGGCAGAACTGATGCTGCTTCATCTGGATCAGCAAGGCAGATACTAAGTCGGAACCCTTTGACACTTAAATGAGCATTGTATCCAGGTTTGGATCTTCTTTGGCAGAATGCTTGGGAAAGTAAGTCTTAAATACCTGTGCATAACATGCCACTTCTGGAATGTCACTATCCAAGATTTGGTGGGTTAACCAAACCTTTTTGTTAAAAGCATGTCTGTCTACCCCTCTTTATATTAATTTCCTTTATGATGCAGCCTTTTCTTCAAACCCTTGTGCTAGTGAATAAGTATAGCAGTGTCTAGCTTGTGTGAGTTATCTCAAATGGGTGTTTAAAGGGTTCGGCTCTGATTAAAATCCCACTGATTCTACACTTTAGGTAGTAGGGTGACTCAAAATGCTTTTGTTGGATGTCTTTAACCTCTCCAGCTGTCCTGTCAGTGAAGATGAGTCAGAAGCTGGAGTCCTACAACTAACACTCACTAAATCTGGAAGGCTTAACTGTTAGCATGACTGACTTGGCAGCTTGGGGCAGGGTGTGGACTGGTGCATTACTGAGGTGACAGCAGCCTTTCCGGAGTGCTGCCGCATCTTTCAGAGAAGAGAGGGAAGTCTCTTGGTCCTTTGTTTTACTCTACACTGACAGCGAAAACAGTTCTTTTCCAGGAGAACTGAGCTGACTGTGGGCTAATAGTAGAAACAGTGCTCATGGGAACTTCTCAGGCTGGTTGTATGGTGAACACTTTGTTTACTTCCTATGCAGAAACAGTAAGTCTGGTATTGGGGGGAGGGTGCTGAACACCGAGGGGTCACAGGTCTCTGTCCAGCAGTGGCTCTGGTCCAAGTTCCCCACTTAGGACTTGTCTGCTTGATCTCTTACAGCCAGTGCTCTGTGTGCTGTTAGGCTTCCCTGTTCTGTGACGGCGTCATCAACAGCACCTGGCTGGCCGTGTGCCTGGGACCTTCAAGGCTGGCAAGGAAGGGAGTAATCGGCCTGGCGCCCAGGAACCTTGAGGATGAGAGGGAGGGGAAGAAGAAATCTGTTTGGTTTGTCTACGACCTTCTTGGCCTGATAATGAGGGAAAGGGAACAAATACACGACCTGCTCGGTCACAAAGAATGGCTGCTTGTCTTATAAAATGGCGTTGGTTATGCCAACCGCATTACCAGGTGTCAGGAGCAGGGGGTACCATACCAGTCACACACCTGATGCTCGTTTTGGTAGTGTTGTTCTACGGATATTAAGTGGAAACACCCCTCCTCACAATAAGGATAAAAAAGACTTCATAGAAGTCATCCTGTGCAAACCACGGTTAGAGCCCATATGTCAGATTTGTGGCCTTCCCTGCCTTTGAACCTTCAAAAGGAGGACTCTGCAATTCGTGGTCACCTGGCAACTGCATACACAATACGAGAGTGATTTTTTTCAAGTTACGTCATCTTGATTTAGCCATAGTTACAAACTGCTATTGTCAGGTTATAGATGTGTCTTTTCCTTTTTTCCAGAGAAACTCCACAGATCTAACAGCAAGTTTTTGTAAATTTTTAAATGAAATATCAATAGACTTGTAATTTTAGGTCTATAGGCATAGAGAAACACTGTTTTTCTGTATTTTGTTGATGGTTACCCTGGCTGCATGTTTGAGTACATTTGTGTTTTGGTTTTGCTTTTAGTATAGTGTTAAAACTATTACACAAACAACGCTTTCATATTACTTCCACCATACCTCCTACAGACTTCAATAGAAATGCATACAGGAAACATGATTTAGTTCTAGCTTTATAATACCATTTTAACTGTCCTCCTAAAAATACAGCTTTTACAGCAGTAATCAAAAAATTTTCAACTGTTTTTTTGAAGATTTTTTGAAGCCAGCTGGATTTGGAGTACTCTGCTGAATAGTTGTGGAAAGAAACTAGTCAGTATAATGAAGTTCCTAAGCCTGAGATCTGCTTTAGTCAGGGTCAGAATAAAACAAACTGCAATAAAAATGTTCAAGTTTGCTAACTAGGAAAGAGTATCTTGAAAAACCAAGATTTTGAAAAGTTAGGGAAACTGGCAAGCTAAAAGGGCAGAAAAATCTTTAAGTGTAAAGGCTTGCTAAAGGGACAACTTATGGGATTGGATAAATCTCTTGAAAGTTAATCTTTCTTCTGGCCTTAGAACAGATGCAACTTCCCCAGAAATGGTAGGGGAGGCATGTAAGAAAGTGAGAGTAAGGCAGCACACCAGTGGTATTTTAAGACCGGACAAGGGTACACTCTATAGAAAGTATCCCTGATGTTTTCTGCAGCTTAAGGTGTTTTCTAAAACTAGAGGAAGAGTTGTTGTGTGTTTGGATTTAACTCCTACGTTTGTTTTCACTGTTGGAAAAAAATTGAAGAAAATTGGTCTAAAAGTTTGGGTTTTTTCCATGGCTGAAATTACGCTTTGTGTTATCACACACAGCTTACACCCAGGCTTACCTTCTCTGTCCAGAATACATCCATCCAATTCAGGCTGGGTACTCAGACATTGGAATAGAAGCTGTGAAAATCAAGAATATCTGGTAAGAAAAAATACTGTATTCTTCTGCCTGCTGTTTATTTACATAAAGAGATTTCTTATAACCCATGGCTATATTGTTTCTAATACTTTCTTTTTCTTGACACAAATTTTGTTTTGGCACTTGTCTGTGTTCATCAGGAAAATACCAAGCACTTGGAATATGGTTTAACCTACGCTTCATCTTATGATTTAAAGTATTTGAAAACAGAATTGTCTTGCTTTTAGTGTACTCCACCCCTCTTCGTAAATCCTTCACGGGGAGGAGAGAATCTCAAAGTATAATGTGCCTTAACTCAAGGTTCCTAGCTCTTCACTTCCACTTCTAGATCATTCTTTCAGTTGGGATGATGCAACTCCTTCTGCATCTGAATTACCTGAACTGGATTATAGAACTGATACAGGTTAAAAACTTACTCTCCCCCAGGTGTTTAAGGAATGACTTTTTTGTGTGTCTCTTGTAATCCAGTTTGTCTTGATCTAATAGTTATTGCAGCATAGTGCAGGAGGTAGCACAGCAGGGAGGGATTGGAAAGGATTGAATGACATGGCATTGTTGGGGGAGGTAGGGAGGGGAAAATGTTACCAAACTACAGCCTTTTATGCCCTGAGGCTGCTCTCAGTGTTCTCTCTGTACGCTTTTGAAGGAGCAGCACCTAGCCGAAGAGAACTAGAGGACAGCAGTTTCTGAACAGTAACATGGGGAAAAAGCTTTGTTTCTTCAGGGGAGAAAAGATGGTTATGTTTATGGGGCTTTTTTAGTAATATAACTAGTAAATCTGCAAGTTGAATGTCCTAGTCGTCCTCTCTGTGTGTGACTGGCTTGGTAAAAGAAGAATTTAGTATACAGCTTTAGACTACGGTGTCTGGTTCATAATATTTGTCACTAACACAGAGCACCATAGCCTGAGACTTGTTGCTCAGCACTGAGCGGAGGACCTTTATGATGAGTAGGGAAATGAAAGAAATCTTAAATTGTTACTTGTAATGTCCCTAAAGAAGGTGACTTTGGGATACAATTGTAGCTCTCACCGAGAGGAGGAAGTGATACATTGCTGAGACTACGTTAAATTTCAGGATAAGGCACCAAACATGTGCAAACCACAGACAGAATCTGCCAGAACTGTGAAGTCCAGATGCTCTGTCTGTATTTAGTTCTTACATCTGCAAAATACAGAAGACTACCAGTTGCGGCTCTGTCTTTTTTTAATGGACG